AAACACCGTTTACCTTCCCGCTAGAAAGCGGTACCTATTTATCTACTTGCACTTAGGGGTGCTTTCGAACTGCTAGGTGGGTAAGCTGCCCTACCCTGCCCCAAAGAGAAGTGCCTCCTCATACTGTCCCACAGGGGCCTGGGAAGAGGATGCCCCCAGGCTAAGTGGCCCAACAGAGCCTGGCCAAAGGTGAAATTAAGGCCAGCACCTTATCTTGGGTGGCAGCAGCGGGCGCTGCTGGGCCTGCACAGCGGAAAAGCTCACCTGGGCATTCAACGCTGGGCACTCGGCTCCCAGGCAGGCCTTGCACACAGCAAGCACAAGAAAAGTGCCTGCCTGGCTTCCCAGTTGTCCATCCATTCCCAACAGCAAGGGCTGGCAGACTGGCTGGCTAGGCTTCCTTGCCCATTTGCTTGCTTACTCCAAGATTCCTGGCAACCAGCACCCCCTGGCCAGCCCCAGAGGCACCTTTCACCTGGGGAGCTTGTAGCCAGGGCTGCTGCAACAAACAGCTGTGCAAGCCTTTGGGAGGCAGAGATGCAAGAGGGCATCAGAGCAGGGAGGGAAGGAAAGAGGGGTAGAGGCCTGTGTTGCCCACGGCACCCCTGACCATCATTCAAGGCACCCCAGGGTGCCATGGCACACTGGTTGAAAACTATATGTTCAGCTGAATAGTTCAGCTAGCACACAGACAACTCTGCACAGAGTCGTAACCAGAAACCCTTGTTTCCCAGGGTTTTGGGTGCTGCTTAGCAATTGTGGTTAAAATCATTTGCTTTCAGCTGCTGGGTCACTGCCTGAGCTAAAGTGGGTCACAACTGAAGCGCTACCACCATACAAATATGTTTTTTATAAATAAGATCTGGGACCCCAAATGCACATGCAAGGTTTATGCTGGGTCCTGGGCATAGCTGTCAACTTACAGATTTGAAAATAAGGGACCAGCAGCCTTGAAAATAAGGGACCAGCAGCCAAAATAAGGGACCTGCAGCCTCACCTGTTCCAGGCACTCCAGTCTTCCTGTCCTCCTGCAGTCTGGTCAAACTCATGCTGGTAGCTTCGAGAACACTGTCCAACCAACTTTGTAACCAGAGGTTCAACTGAATAGAATCTGAATCACATGCACCACAAGGCCTATGCAGCCTCAACTTAAGATGGCTCCCCGGCCTGGCTTTGCACTGCAAAGTTTGCAGCAGCACGTGCAACAAGATGGCGTCCAGCAATCAAAAACCCCCTCAGCTTGCATTAACTAGCCACACACAAGGCATGCAAACTCCACCCCCCAGTCGTTCTTAGACTTCTTATTGGGTGAGCAACACAGCCAAGCAACACAGTTGGAGCCTCCCTCCTCCCTGGCCAGCAGGGAGGAAGGGAGAGGAGCTGCTTCCTTTGAAATTTAAGGGACATCATTTAAGGGACATCCATCAATAAGGGACAGGAGCGGGACATGGCGCTGGAATAAGGGACTGTCCCTTCAAATAAGGGACAATTGACAGCTATGGTCCTGGGTCTAAAAGTTGAAAGCTGCAAGTTCAAATAAGGTTCTGCTGGTCTTTTTCAATTTAACGTTAATACTTTCCTACTCCCTTTCTTCTTTTTAAACAAGTAGCTCTTGGATTTTAAACAAATACAGATACAAGAACTATTAAATATTTACCCAGTAGTACATTCAGTGCTGTTTGTTCTATCCGTTGACTTTAGGCATAAGCTTACACATTCAGTGTTCAAACCTATTACTTAACATAACCTCTCCACTAAAAAGATGGCGTGGTTGGTATAACAAGGTCTTGATTTTGGCCATTAACAAAGTTAAAGGTAGCTCTGGGCAATATTGCAATTAATTGTCTGAAACTGGTATGACTGTCATACCACATACCACTCTGGCTCATACAGGGAGGAGCAGTACGGAGTAGGGCTGGACAATTTCAGACATTGCGATCTATCAGTACATCATGATATTTAGCTGCTGGGTATATCACAACGTTGAAAACCAGGTATCGCTCCGTCCTAGCTAAAGTGGTCCACGTTTCTTTTTGTTCTGCCTTCAATTGTCCTCTTGTGTCTGGTGAGACGCTCAGATGTTGCTGCATCCCAGAAATTATTCTCCCATGGCCTTCCAGTGCTTTTCAGTTAGGTTCTTCCATGTTGAGCAACCATTAACTGTGCTGCAGATAGTAAAGAAGCCTGCCAATTATCTGCGGTGCAAGGTGGAGCCCAAGACTATGTCGAAAAATAGGGCTTGTCGTACTTGCTGTGGAAACTGCTTTCCCTGTGGGAAGTGGGTGGGTCAGTTCGCAAAATGCTTTCCCAATCCTTGAACTGTTGTGTGTCTGGAAGCCACCTACTCCAGGGCTAGGCAACCTAAGGCCCGTGGGCCGGATGCGGCCAAATCTCCTTCTCAACCTGGCCCATGGACGGTCCGGGAATCAGCGTGTTTTTACATGAGTAGAATGTGTGCTTTTATTTAAAATGCATCTCTGGGTTATTTGTGAGGCAAAGGAATTCGTTCATTTTTTCTTCTTCAAAATATAGTCCGGCCCCCCACATGAAAAAGGCTGCTGACCCCTGCAATCTCAGCCATCTCCTGATCAACGTTTTCCTGTTCCTTAGGAATTTTTACCTTTTCCATGCTTCTTTGCATGATTTTTGTGTTCTTGATCTTACTCCTTTGCCTGTTTTTTCTCTCTTTCTAAGTTTGGTAATTTCTCTCAGACTTAACAGTGCAATCCTATACATGTCTACTCTATAGCTGTCAACTTTTCCCTTTTCTTGCGAGGAATCCTATTCAGAATAAGGGAATTTCCCTTTTAAAAAGGGCAAGGTTGACAGCTATGGTCTACTCAGACATAGATACCATTAAGTTCAGTGGTACTCTTAGGATAAGTGGGTTTGCAGTCTTAATCTGCTGTGTTTTTTTCCTGCTTTTCAGCTCACTTTGGGATTCTTTTTCTTTCCTTGAACTATTTTGCTTTACTATTTCTGATTTTCTTTTGATTTGTAAAGAACAACATTGCCGGTTTCTTCCCTTACAAAGCTTTATTTGCATTTGATATTCTTGGTCACACTGCGTGTGAGAGAAAGAGGGGTGGAGAATTGCTTTCTTTCTTTCTTACTGCGTGCGTGTTAACTTGTGGGAAATCCCTCAGGGCATGTCCTGTTCTACTTACTCTGTACAGTATCTCCAGCTTCTTTGAGCATGCTTCTGGCATCAAGTTTACCCCAACACAAATTTGTATTATACTTCATGGCTTCTGGTCCATGTTATTCTCTTCTGCTAATTTAGTTAATTTCCCTCCAAGGATCAGTATTGGGACCTGTTTTAAAGGCCTAGTTTACTTAAATGATGATCTCAGCACTTTTGGTTTATGTGGAGTCTGGAATTTAGGAAAGCCAGAGGAGCTGTCATTCTAGTTAAACTACTGAGTCAGTTTTTGGGGGGATCTTCTTGTGGCTGCGTAACATGTTGGAAGACCCTCTGCCATGCTCTTGCATGGTTCTATTGAGAATGGATGTAAAAGCGACAACAACCTGAACTCCAAGCAGCGTTTTCTTGCTGGCTGCACTTTGCACTGTTAAAATCGCCCCCCTACACCACATGCGTGGCAAGAGCAGTTGGGGAATCCGACTTGATGTCAAAATTGGAATAAGACCTCCTTTGTTGCAATATTTCATTGCAGACTTCCTTCAATGGTTGTATTAACCATTCTTTCAAAGATCTCTTAATATATTGAAATCAAACCATCTGGTCCTGGAGATTTGCCTAATTGCATGTTCTGGATGGCCCCTTCCACCTCCTGATCCGTTATCTTATAATTCAACATTAGCTGTTTTTCCTGAGAGATTTTACGTAGTCCATTTATTTTCAGAAATCGATCAATAGCCATTTCTTTTTGCTTCTCCTGTGTATAAAGTTGTTTGAAGTATCTCTGAAAATCGCCCCCCTACACCACATGCGTGGCAAGAGCAGTTGAGGAATCCGACTTGATGTCAAAACTGGAATAAGACCTCCTTTGTTGCAATGGTGTGATTTCCCCTTACGCTTTACTGCCTCCTTCCTGTGTCTCTCAAGAGATTATAATATAAACTCGGGGATGTGGGTTTGATGTTGGGAATCTGTACGTGCAGCTACTCACACAGAGTCAATTAAGGTTTGGCAGACAGCCAGAAGGCAATCTGAAGGAGTAAGTCTGCCTGGTGATAACAGAGACATGGAGACCGCTCCCTGATTGGTCAAGCTCTCAAGGGAGTGATAATTAATGGCCTACTAACTGGAATGTGTTAGAACAAAAAAAAATTCCTTCCAGTAGCACCTTAAAGACCAACTAAGTTAGTTCTTGGTATGAGCTTTCGTGTGCACACTGTGTATCTGAAGAAGTGTGCATGCACACGAAAGCTCATACCAAGAACTAACTTAGTTGGTCTTTAAGGTGCTACTGGAAGGAATTTTTTTTGTTTTGACTATGGCAGACCAACACGGCTACCTATCTGTAACTGGAACTATGGAAGGCAACACATTGAGCCGCATGAAATGGAAGTCCATCAGTGTATCTGAAGAAGTGTGCATGCACACGAAAGCTCATACCAAGAACTAACTTAGTTGGTCTTTAAGGTGCTACTGGAAGGATTTTTTTTTGTTTTGACTATGGCAGACCAACACGGCTACCTATCTGTAACTGGAATGTGTTAGTTCAGTGTTCAGAGGTTCAGAGTTCTGTGTGTCAGTGTAGGTCTTACACAGCAACAATAAACCTACCATTAAAATTATGGACTGGTCATTTCTTCATCAGAGGGCAAATGGGCAAATTTAGCAGGGGATCAAATACTTCCCCCCCTCACTGTATGTTGAGAAAGTACTGCATTGCCATCAGTTGCATAATAATAATAATAGTAATATTTATACCCCACCCATCTGGCTGGGTTTCCCCAGCCACTCTTATAAAGCTGCACCGTCATTTTAGAGTGATGAAAAACCTTGTGCCTTTTTTTTACTAAGCACATAATTGATTTTTAAAATTATTTTATTTATAAAATGAATTTTTATTATTATTTTATTTATAAACAGGGGAGGGGCCTAAATAGCCAGGTTTAAATAGACAGCTGCTGCACCTGTTGAATTCCTGGTAACAACACACACAACTTAACAGACTGTTTTTAACTAACTTCCATTTCAAACACAATTCAACAAACAATATCTCACAAAGTGTAATTCCATAGACCAACACATCATGCAAACAGAGCATATCAAGGGAAATTAAAGTCCATTGGACGGTAAGGAGGTAAAAGTCCATTCGGTTCCTAAATTGGCATATTGGCAATATTAACCACAATATGGTATGCTTATCTTAGGATGTTCCACGTATCGCTGCTTTAAGGATTCTAACGCTCCTTGTATGTAGATATCGGCTCAGATGGAAAACTTGAAGGTATGACACAAGGATTCCGGGATAATAACCATGTTTCGCCCAAACCGGGCTTCGTCAGCCGTGCATACTCATATTCTTGTATGACGGAAACAAGGAACAAAATAAATTCAGTTGCGGCAACCTGGTCTCATCTCCCCCCCCCCTTTTTTTTTTTACAAAGCACATAATTGAGGGAAATATTAATAATAATAATAATAATAATAAAGGGGAAGGGGGCTAAATAGTCAGCTTTAAACAGCCAGCTGCTGCACCTGTTGAATTTCTCTTCCTAGACACCCTGGGGCAAATCTCCTTTTCCCTTTCAACATTTCCCTTTCTCAATAGAGGAGACGGAATGAAAAGAGAAAGTGCGCGGAGGGGGGGGGAAGAGAACCCAGCGGAAGAGCGCATGCGCCTCGTTCCCTCACGCTCCCTCCGGCAGCGAAGTTAGGGCGCGGCGCGGCTTTTGACGGACGGGCGTTCCCTTCCCGCTAGATGGGCGGGGATTCCGGCCGGCACCGCCCCCTCCCTTCTCTTCTTGGCGGCTGCTGCTGAGGGGAAGAAGTGTCAGTCCGGTCAGGCGGCGAGGGAGAGGGCGGCGGCGGCGGCGGCGGCGGCGGGAAGATGGCGGCAGCGGCGACGGCGGCGGCAGCGTGGCTGTGGAGCGGTCTGTGGAACGAGCGCTTCTGGTTCCCCGCCAACGTGAGCTGGGCCGACCTGGAGCGCCAGGACCCCGGCGTCGGGGAGGTGTACCCGCTCCCCCGCCACGTTTGGGCCGCTTTCCCCGGGGCGCTGGGCCTCTTCGCGCTGAGGCAGCTCTTCGAGAGGTGGGAGAGCGGCGGCGGCGGCTAAGCGGGGGACGGGGTGGCGGGGACGGAGGGAGCCGGCGGGGGGAAAGCGGCGCACACTTCCGCCCGCCTGCCGGACGGGCCGAGGCGAATGGGATGGGTGGGTGGGTCCGAGGGGGAAGAGGTAGCGTCGCCCTCGCTGCCGCTTCCTCAGTCGGCCTCGAGGAGGGTTTGGGGAGGGGGTCAGAGGAGGGGAGACCCGCTTTCTCTCGCCTTCTCGCGCCACGTTGGGCCGCCCTTTTATTTCACCATAATAAAACCTTCAGAGGAACTCCGTAGCCAGACCGCACTCTTTATAAAGATGGGGAATACGCAGGAGAAATGATTTCCAGGAGATATAATAATACAGTGGTACCTCGGGCTACATACGCTTCAGGTTACAGACTCTGCTAACGCAGAAATAGTGCTTCAGGTTAAGAACTTTGTTTCAGGATGAGAACAGAAATGGTGCTACGGCGGCAACAGGAGGCCCCATTAGCTAAAGTGGTGCTTCAGGTTAAGAACAGTTTCAGGTTAAGTACGGACCTCCGGAACGGAATTAAGTACTTAACCTAAGGTACCACTGTAATAATAATAATAATAATTTATTTATACCCTGCCCATCTGGCTGGGTCCCCCCAGCCACTCTGGGCGGCTTCCAACAAAACACTAAAATACAATAGCCTATTAAACATTAAAAGCTGCCCTAAACAGGGCTGCCTTTAGATGTCTTCTAAAAGTTTGGTAGTTGTTTTTCTCTTGGACAACTGGTGGGAGGGCGTTCCACAGGGCGGGTGCCACTACCGAGAAGGCCCTCTGCCTAGTTCCCTGTAACTTGGCTTCTCGCAGTGTGGGAACCACCAGAAGGCCCTCGGAGCTGGAACCCCGTGTCCGGGCAGAACGATGGAGGTGGAGACGCTCCTTCAGGTATATTGGACCGAGGCCAGTATATCTGATATATATAGAAGGTGCTTGTAGAATTTGTACTATTTAAAACGGGAAGGAGTTAAACGCCAGTGGTTCCCAAACTTTTTTTGGCCATGCCCCACCTAAGCATCTCTAAAATTCTCGTGCTCCCCCCCTCCGACATAATAATTCTTAATTGTTCAAAAAGTGAACTCTTGTTCACGTGGAGGAAGCCTTAAAGGTCATTGACTTGGTCTAACCTCTTCTCGAATCCCCCCCCCCCAATCAAATGGCCCCCTTGTGGGGCGTGTGCCCCACGTTGGGAACCATGGGGTTAAACCATTGTAAGAGGTGTTGAAATTTTGGGCGGTTGGATAGTTACAATGGAATGGTCTCGGTGGTTGGGTGCACCTTTTTATTCTTACTTATTTATGATAATTACTTTGTCAAGAAAGGAGAGTGTGTTTGTATATATATAAAATCAGCAGCGGCAATTAGAATAAGATCTATTATTGCATCAACTTTACTTTTTAAATAATTTTATTTAGTTTTTAGAAATTTACAATCACTTATCCAACAATCAACATAAAAAGAGAATTCCAAAAAAGTCTCCTGAACTTCCCTCCTCCCCTTTGTGGGTCCAATATAAGGATTAACTTTCCAATATGGCTCAGCTTTTTGTTTTTTTAAAGTGTGACTTTGGGGCGTGCCCTAGAAGCATCTTCCAAAAAAGTGTTTCATACAAGAGGCTGTTGTAAAGAAGACAAGACAATTGTGATCTATTCACCACCCTATAATAAATTTCCAAACTACCCTTTGTCATAAATAACCTCCAGGCAGCATTAGTTGCCAAAATAGAATGCTTAGTTGCCATTTTGGGGCAAGACAGCTCTAAAGTCTTTTTTTTTTTCATGGAGTGGCTGTGATGGATTATCAGTTAAACATCTGGCTAGTTCAGATGACAACCTTGAGCTACATTATGAACTTTGAGACGTTAAAGAATAATCACTTGATCCAGGGACGGTTCACATATATATTGGCCCATTCCTACCTGTTTTTTCTTAATGGTGACACAGAATGTAAGAGGATTTACAACTGAGCAGCGCAGTTGGGTGGGGTAAGCGAAGACAAGCTACAACATTTAACTATAATGTTATTCACTGCTCCTGCTTAGGCTGCACAGAAAAAGCATTTTGGTTCCTGAAATTCATTTGGATTGTGCAGATAAAATAGAACTGATAGAATTCTACAGGATGTGGTGTTACGTGTTCAAAAAAAGCCAAGATCCAAGGATCCCCAGGCATGCACCTAAGCAATTATGTGGGCTTCTACAATTTCCTCTTCCAGCTGTAAGTTGTCAGGCTTCAACAAATCCTGTTCAGGGAGAATCCTTTTAGGACCAGTTAGAGTGACATGGAGGAAGAAGCATGGTACTTTGGATCTGTCACCATGTTTTAAAAATAAAAAAAAGTTATTTGGTTAAATATTCATTATTACATTCACTCCCAATGGACTTACTCTGCAAGCATAATAGTTGATGACATCAATCTGCACAATATGTGCCTGAATAAGTTCAAAATAACTGAGGCAGTTATTGTTTTAAGTTAATATATGAATTAGTATTGAACAGGATGAGAGAAGAAATACCACTAAATGTTTAGGTTCAGTTCAGCATTAGGGTTAGGTCTCAGCTATGCCAGTTTCAAAATGAAATTTTACCATGCGCTTCAGGGAGAGTCTTCTGCTGCTGTGCTACTATGTGTGTCAGCTGGCTCGTGGCAGCAGAAGACTCCATTCTTTTCCTGAAGCACTGTGGCACAAGCCAGGTGATTCACACCACAGCATGGCAGCAAAAAAATCCGCTGCTGTTTGACAGCCAGCCAGATAGTGGAGATGTCAGTTGTCATCCTGGTGCCCATATACGGTATCTTCACTTGGTTCCAAGTAGCTCACAGTTCAACGTGCCTGTTGAGTTTTGATCTTTGCTTCCAGGTAGTTTATACATAAACGATTATTAAAGCTATAAAAACTATAAAACTCAAAAATGCATTAAAGGCAGTACCCGTTTGACTTTGTTTTTTGTTTGATTTCCCTATAAAATAGCATTTTTGTAGCAAGAGAAAAACCTGTATTCGTGAATTTGGCTCTAGAATCAAAATCTCAGTAGACTTAATCTATTTACAGAAGATAAATTGAAAAGTGGAATATCAGGAACATTTTTGAAAATATTGGAAAAAACTGCTCAGGAATGTTGCGGCTGGCCATACAAAGCAGTTTGGGTCATACAACCCTTTTTGAAAGGACTAGTACAGTTCTTGCAGTGGGGGCTGCTGCTGTCACTTCCAAAGCTCTGGCTGGCTTGCAGCAGCTAGGGCAGGTGGTAAGATAGTGGGATTTCTGTTGTCCCTTGTTCTCCTTTTTCTTTCTTTGCAGTCAATGAGAATAAATTAACTATACCAGCTTTAGGGCTGATGTAGTTAGGTGCTCTGTTGGGAGCAGGATGGGAGAACAAAGGGGGCTTAGCATTCTGCAAATCACCAACCACCCCTGATGCACTCCTTTGCTTTTCCTACCCTCCTCTCCCCTCCCCTGACAGGCAGAACATCTAACCTTATGGAGCATCTCACTTGTGAAATTTGGGCAACACAATACAGCCTTTTTCTGTGTAGAAGCCTTTTGACCCCTCCCATGTTCATACATAATTTTCTGATTTATCCATTAAAATTTCACTACGCCTGTTTTCTTATCCTCATGTCCTGGAATGAACACTCCATGAATTATGTGCTTCAATTTAACATTGGGAGTCTGGGACTGATGACTCACAATTTGAGCCACAGATTTCTTAAACCATTGTTTTTTCTTCCCTTCCTGTCTGTGGTGCCTCACTTTAGAGGAAATGCATTCACATTTTCGGCATATCATAGCAGCACACTGGTTTATCATATGCATATCTCTCTTTTTTAGGCCCTAGGAGAGAGTGTAGTTTATTGTTCCTATGTGTTCGTCTGTTTCCTCTCAGTTTTGCCAGTGAAACTCAGAGATAAGTGAAACTCTGAGAGAATGACAGGAGATCAGCGTTAGCTTTCGCAGAATGGCTTAGTATTCTGACCTACAAAGGTTCACCTCATTTTTTTACTGAAACCTTCAGAAAGGCCTCAAATGCACAAATGGATTTAATAAGTGCTGTGGAATACTGCAGGTAGTGTAGTTGTTTTTCATGTGTCCATGTCAGGCCATTTGGAACTGACAGACTGCCTTCCCTAAGCTTCCCTCCCTAAGCCTAACTGGGGAGGGGTTTACTTTTTATATTTATATTTAGATCCTGTCATATTTATTCCTTTCTTCATTTTACATACTCTCAATCACTCAACAGCAGTAAACATAAAATGCAAATAGAGGTTACAATCACATATATGAGCATTAATTAAGAAGTCTAGATATAGGCATTCCGTGTTGGTGGCTCTCCTTTCTTGTCTTTCTTGTTAATGTAGGTGGTGAAATAACACAAGACTGGTCCAAGCAACTCCCCATTTACATGGGAGTTGTGTTCCCAGGCGCCATATGGGTCAGTGGGATGCACTTAAGCCTGCCCCACCCCCTTGCGGTGCTGAAAATTGTCTGTGTGTGCTGCTCACACACAGATGAGGAGT